ATGAGGTTTTCTTGGCAAGATTTATTCAGAGGAGGTTTGCCATTGCCTTCCCTTGCGGCTAAGAGTACATGGCTTGCCCAAGGTCACCCAGTGGCTTTACATGCCAAGCTGGGAATAGAACCCCAGTGTCCAGAGTTACAGTCCATCACTGAAACCACCACGCCACACTGGCTCTCTCATTAATATATGTTGGGATATCAATGTTTAATGGATAAATAAAATAATTTTACTTATTTAATTCAGCAGCCATCATCACCACAGCCTGAAGCAGGGAATCAAGAGCTAAAACACAAAGAGATTACAGAACTAGGCAGGAGTGTAACTACAGGAGGGGCAAAATGAGGGCATTACCAATTAAGAATTCTGCCACCGCAAATGAAATTTCCTTTCAGTTCCCTAATATCTAGCATTGCAGAGAGTGAGACACTGAAAACCTTATCCACCAGGAACTCTCATATTTGCTGTGTTTGTACTCCCTTTCCTTGCCCATTTTTTCTGGACACTAAAATGTGCTTTATCAAATGCTCAACTAAAGTTTTAAGGTATGGCAATGCTAGAAATCTGGAGACCAAAGGAAAATTTTACCTTGAGATCAGAATTCCTATTTGGTAGGGCAATGCCTTCATTCTGCCTCCTACTCAGTGGCTGCGTCCCTGGAACTAGGTCGAGAGTAAATCATTATGCCACAGAACCAGTGGGACAGTTACCTTGGGAGTCTCCCCCTTGGAGCCTGGGGGGAGCCGGAGGATCCAGAAATTTCGGTTCTTGAGCAAGTTCTCCATGTTCTCCAGCCGCCTCTGAAGCAGCCCGTACTCCTGGATCAGAGTCCCCAAAGCAGCCCACTTGCTTTCCAGTTGGTTCCCAATTTCTACAGCAGTTTTCTCACAGTCTATGATCCTCTTCTCAGCTGTTCCTGCCCTGCCTTCCAAGTCCAGCAGCCGCGTCGCATGAGAATCTACCTTTTTCTCCATTGCTTGGAAGGAAGCTACTAAGGTGAGTGAGATCTCAGCCGTTTGGTCAGGATCGGTGGGGAGGCGCGAAGGCAGCCGTCGCTCAGACTCCACATCTAGTTCTGGCCCCTGCTGAGAAGGACAAGTATTAGAAGTGTGAATGGGCTGCCCTCACTCATCTGGACACAATCAGGTGAGGAGCAATGAGTTCAACCTAAACATTAGGAAGACCCTTCCGGAAGGTAAGAGCTGCTCCACAGTGGAAAGGCCTGCCCTGGAGGGTGGTGGACTCTCCTTCAATGAAGGTATTCCAAGAGAGGTTGGATGGCCATCTCTCAGGGATGCCTGAACACGACTTGAAAAGGAATCTTTGGACTCAATTTATGAGAAATGAGATTCCATACAAACATCAGGAAGAACTTCCTGGTGGTAATCAGTGTTCAGCAGTAAAACAGACTGCCAAGTGGATGTTCTTTCTTTGGAAGTTTTTAAGAAAAGGAAGGATGACCAGTGGCATCCCTATGGCTGGCATCACTTGATGCAGTAACTCATGGTGTCACCCCTCCATTGAGCACCCCCTATACTGGAACATACAGAATCCTTAGTAATGCTTTTTGTACTAATGTTATTAGTAAATCAGTGGCAAACCTCTTTGAATAAACCTGCCAAGAAAACCCCATGATAGATTCACCATAGGGTCGATATAAGTTGGAAACGACTTGAGGGCACACAACACAACCAACAACAATTCCTGTATATCTCTGAATGGCAATAGTTGTGACATAAAAAGGTATAGGTAAAGGTTTTCTCTTTGACAAGGTTGTCAAGTCGTGTCTGACTGTAGGAGACAGTGTTCATCTCCCTTCCTAAGCCAAAGAGCCAGCGTTGTCCAAGGACTGCTCTGGTGGTCATGTGGCCAGCATGGCTGCCCCAAACGCTGTTTACCTTCCCACCAAAGTGGTACCTATCTATCTACTTGCATTTGCATGCTTTCGAACTGCTAGGCTGGCAGAAGTTGTGACATAAAGAACTTCTAAATAACTTCTTTGTTCTCCACACTCCCAAAGTTAGAGGTTGCTGTCTCCTATTCACATAAAGGTTCTTATGTGGTGGTGTTGCCCCATTTATGGTGCTACCCAGTGTAGTCCGCAGTCCCAGTACCCCTCTTAGATGCTCCTGTCGACAGCCATCTCTCAGGAATCTGTGTATTCCTGCATAGTACGGGTTCAACTAGATGACCCTTATGGCCCCTTCCAACTCTATGATTTCTCTTATTTGTTGGGCTAATTCTTGGACTTCCTTCTAACATCAAAGGAACCCACAAAGGGCTTACAATCACACTCAGCTAAAATTACAATATCATCCTTTGTACTGTATTTCCTTTCTCTGCTGCCTACATGGCCAGTCTAGTGGAAGTTAAAACTACAGATCCTTCTCTTTGCTTTGTGGCCTGCCCAATCCCTTATATTTACATTTTCTAGCACTGAATCATGGGAAAATAAAGGACACAGGAAAGGACACAAGCAAACTATGTAGTTGGATCAGGCCAGTAGAAGGAATCGTGCAGCTTTCCAGATGTTGTTGGACTGCAAATCCCAGCAACCCTACCTAGCATAAGCCGGTGGTGAGGACACTGAAAGTTGCGATATAACCTATTAATAAGCCAAGATATGATCAAGCCTTATTCCAGCCACATTCAGCCCCTTTGCTCCTCCTGCCAAGTGAGCCACAGCTAAATCAGGAAGCCTCTAATTAAACTTGGTTTCCCTGCTTTGTTCAGATAATTATGGCTTATCTTCAGAGAAACCCAGGATATTAAACCACAGTTTCATATAAAGGTTTTACGGAACATTTACGGAACATTTTGAAAGAACAATGGAGATAATATATGCAATGTGACCCCTGATTAACAGGAGACTAAGAGCAGATCCCACAGAAAAAAGGCACATCTTAACGGCATGGCATGTTGCACAGGTAGTAATTAAATTTTCCTGATTTTGACAAAATGGACAAGCAAAGGCAATTGAGAATATTTAAAACTATTAAAGCAAAATAAACTCATCCAAATGCAAATGCTCTCTACCCAGAGAGACAGCTCATGTAGTATTCTAGACCCTATCCATTTACAGCATGGTTTGGGGGCCACATGTGACCCCTGAATTCCACTTTTATACCCCTTGAAGCCTCCACTAGTTCTCTAAGACCCATTTAAAAAAAAATATCACAATTGTCAGGCAATTCTCCCACAATCACATAGAAGCCCCCCCCCATGCACTAAAACATGCAAAAATACCCCACCCTCACAAGCATCTTAGAACTCTGTGCGGCTATCCAAATACCTTTTTTCTGTAAGCCCTCTCGAAATAGTGAGAGGAAGCGGTGTGATAACATCCTGTCACCATTTTGAGAGGGACTGAAGAGAAAAACAAAGGTATTTGTTGGGTATTGGCAGGCCACAGATAGTGGGGTGGGGTGAGGAAGTGGTGTAGAAAGGGAAAATGTTCATTAATCCCTATGCAATTGCCCACAGCTGGTTGGCAGCTACCTCCCTCTGGCCATTTGGAAGGATGGGTGTGTTGGTGACAAAGACAGAAGAATGGCCGCTAAGTATTCCTGATTCAAATCTTATCTCATTTGTGGACTCAGTATGTGGTTTTTGGCAAACCACCATCTCTCGTCATGCCTTCTGCAATATGGGCATAGCAAACACAACAGAACTTACGGAACATTTTGAAAGAACAATGGAGATAATATATGCAATGTGACCCCTGATTAACAGGAGACCAAGAGCAGATCCCACAGCAAAAGAGGCACATCTTTTGGGACATTTATGTCCAGCATTAAAATGTTCTTGTCTCCCACAAGTGGTCCCCTTTCTTGGATAAACTCGCAAACATGTTGTGCAAATGATTCTGCAGGTAGGTTGTATGTGGAAGGACTACAAATATGGTGAGGATAACGGAAAAGCAAGGCACCTTACCAACACACATGGGCAGATGCACAAACATAATTCATAGCCACAATGCAAAGCAGACTGCACACAGGGAGAAGACCTTCACAAGATGCACTGGAGCTTTAAGAAAGAAACGCACCACCTAGGTGACTCACTGGCATGGCCTTGTTGTTGTTCTTGAGCGTCTTCAAGTAATTTCTGACTTATGGCAATCCTAAGGTAACCCTATCAGAGTTTTCTTGGCAAGACTTGTTCAGAGGGGGATTGACTTTGTCTTCCTCTGAGGCTGAGAGAGTGTGTCACCCAGTGGTTTTTCATGGCCAAGCGGGGATTTGAACCCTGGCTTCCCAATGTCCTAAGACCTAAACCAACACTCAAGCCACTATACCACACTGCCAGAATGTCGTAATAAACACGTGTTGCAGCTACATTGGCCAAGTTTGGCAGGGAGAATCCTGATTAATCCTCTGTTATCCCACTTTTTCCGTTACTTTTGAAATGTCCAAGCTTCTCTCACCTCCTCCTACTTTTCTCCCTTTTTCCTCCACTTACTTCAACTGCTGCAACCTGAGTTCAAAGTGCAAAAGTATTTTGTACTCAACTAATTCAGCAGGGGAGAGAGCAGGAGATGCAATCTTGCCCTTCCCAGTAGGTTTGGGCAAAAGCAAACTGCTGCAGCCTCTCCTAGCTCAGTCACATGTATCCTGGTGAAATTTTGGAGGATGTCCTAGCTGGGTCATAGAAACCCATTGGGTGACCTTGAGCAAGTCACTTCTCTCAGGCTCAGAGGATGGCAATGGCAAACCCCCTCTGAAGCAACCTATCAAGAAAACCCCATGATAGGTTTGCCTTAGGGTTGCCAGAAGTCAGAAAAATGAAGGCACACAACACAACAATGCACTGGCTGTCATTTGCTACCGAACAAGTTTTAAAATGTTGGTATTAAAAGACAAAGCCAGCCACAACTCAGAACCAGGCTATCTCAAGGAAAGTTGCCCCTGTGTAGGAATGGGGAAAGTGTGGCCAATGGAATACATGTTTGTGGCTTTTGGTATTCCCTTGTCCAGCTCATGGGTTTCCATTTAGTAAGACACAAAGGCATTGTGGTGTAGTGGTTTCAGCACTGGACTATGACTCTGGAGACCAGGGTTTGATTCCCCACTCGGCCATGAAACCCACTGGGTGACCTTGGGCAAATCACATACTCTCAGCCTCGGGGGAAGGCAATGGCAAACCTCCTCTAAACAAATGTTGCTACGATAGGTATGCCTTAGGGTCACCTTAAGTCGAAATGATTTGAAGGTACACAACAACAGCAACAACACAATAGTAGGTCTTCTCTGCAGCCAGGCTCATGGAAGAACCTCCCCTCTGCAATTTTCACCACAGGTGGGTTTTTGATGCTTATTAAAAGCATATATTTTTGCCTTTGCATTCCATTAACAATCTACTGATATTTTGTCGGGTTGTGCGTCTATGTGTTTTAATTGATTTCTCCTATTTTTTATCATATTGTTGCAAAACCACTTTAGGAACTGAACAAATCGAAAGAAAAAGGGGAAAAACAGTAAGAACAACTGCTATAACAATAGTCCTCTGATTATGTGTGCATGTGTTTTTTAAACTAATTCTATCTATGCTTTATGATATTACTGTAAAACATTTAGCAATCTGAATAATAAGAAAAGGAAAAAGAATTATTATGATATTATTATATTGTAAATAAACAAAGTAACAATAACATCAACAACAACATGGCAGAGGGCTGGACTTTGTGGTTCCTTCCAACTCTATGATTCTATAAACAACAACAGCATTGCCTTCATGGACAAACCCAACACTTTGTCTAGTCCATTGGTTCTCAATCTTTGGCCTTCTCACGGTTTTGGACTTCAGCTCCCAGAATTCCTGGCAGTCAGCCATGTTGGCTGGGGCATCTGGGACTTGAAGTGTAAAATACCTGGAGGGCTGACCATCACACCAAACACCCTTTGACCCCTGCAAGCTGGACGGGAGGAAGATGACCTTGTGCTTATCTCTGGCCTCTCACAGCAGGAACAGGACAGGAGTCTTGTTTGGTTCCAAACGCCTTTGAAGAAAGATCTGGAACAGAACTGAAGGAGCAAAAATCTTTCTCTGACATTGCTGATTTCAGTGCCGGCCCTTATTGATTTGTTCTTAGAACTGATCTGTTATTTATTTAAACCGCTGGCTTTGTATTAGAGTTCCTCGTAAATTGCTAGGAATATGTTACACATAAGGGAATGTCTCATCACAGCACATACACAAAAATTAAAGAAATGGCAGTTCAACTTTTTTTTCCTAAAAGCCACACCACCATTTTGTGAGTTAACATCTCTATTACACTTCTCACGAAATTCATCACAGCAATGAAAACGGGAAAGCCAACCTTCAGCCAACATTCATTTCCAAAAAAAGATCCCTCTGAAACTATGACAGGCGACCTACTTCAAAATGGTTTTCCAAAAATTTACAAATTACAGGTTTGCAGGTTTAAGAGACTGAGGCTGCATCTGCATTGTGGAAATAACACAGTTTGACACTGCTTTAACTACCATGGAATCCTGTAGCTTGTTGTGGCACCAGAGCTCCCTGACAGAGAAGGCTGACAAAACTACAAATCCCACAATTCCATAGCACTGAGCCATGGCCGTTAAAGCAGTGTCAAAATGCATTATTTCTGCATTGCAGATACAACTCAAAAGAGCCAGCTTGGCATACTGGTTTAAGCACTAGACTAGGACTCTGGAGGCCAGGGTTCAAATCCCCATTTGGCCATGGAAACTTACTGGGTGGCCTTGGGGGAGTCACACTCTCTCAGCCTCAGAGGGAGGCAAAGGAAAACCTCTTCCCAAGAAAACTTTGGGAAGGGGTTGCCTTCAGGTGGAGTTCACTTTAAGGTAACATAACAACAACAGAATGCAAGACCAATTTACAAGTCAACCCCTCTGAACAAATCTTGCCAAGAAAACCCTTTATTTCTATCCCGCTGCAGAGGGCAGGATAGAAATAAATTATTATTATTATTATTATTATTATTATTATTATTATTATTATTATTAAACTGGAAATGAAGGGAAAGGCATACAACAACAAAAGAGACCAAGTGATCACAAGTGGCACACATATCTCTGTTTTCACCAATATTTTGCTTATTTCAAAGTTACAGTTCCTACGAGGGAAAGAGAAAAAGAAATCCTATTCCTACACCTTCCTGCACTCAAGGCTGGAGTCTTCCCAGGCTCCCCTTTCAGACACATTCAGCCCCACAAGATGTCTAGGGCAGATCTGGGGGACAGGATTAATGCATTTACATCCTGCCTTTCCCCCAATATGAGACTAAAGGCAGATTACAGTGTGAATCAAATTCAAATAGGGTTTAAAAAATAGATAATGCAAACCTTCAGACACAATTAAATAAACCACCATCTTGAAAGTTTAATTTAAAACAGTTTAAAGGGGAGTTAAAACATAATGGTGATGATTAAGAAAATAATCATCCCAATTAAAAGACCTTTTTGCAAGAGTCAGGTCCAAACCATATGGCAGAAATAATCCAGTTTGAGATTGCTTTAACTGCTCTGGCTAGATGCTAGGAAATCCGGGAAACTGTAGTTTTGTGAGATGCTTAGCCTTCTCTGTCAGAAAGCTTTGGTGCTAAAACAAACTACAGTTCCCAGGATCCCCTAGCACTGAACCAGGGCAGTTAAAGTGGTTTCAAACTGGATTATT